ATTCTTAACATTTCTTCTAGGCAATTTGCCTTTAAAACTGTAGAAGGGATGTTAGAATCTGGGGGGAGGGAGGGGAGTGAAAAGAGGGATCAGCCTAGAAACCCTATGTAGTAGCCACGAGAGAACCAAGTCCAACCTCCCCTTGGGTGCCACTGACCTTTATCTAATTCTAAGTAGGTGTCAACTGATTCCTGTGCCAACTGAAGCCTGTGCATAGGCTTTTAGCGATAAATTAATTTAGCTGAATCTTCACGTGTGAACCTAGTCTTTCGTGAAAAAAATATCCAATTTAATATAGGAATTAAATGGTCTCCAACACCTTGCTCCAGTCATCGAGAAGAATTTTCTAAAAAAGCTTTCCAAAATATTTGAGAACATTTTGGTGGGTAGCAATATATTAATGGAATTCCTAATTTGGGGGATCTTTCTTGTTATAAATAAACATTGCATATCAGAAACTGCTGAAACAGTGATGTTTTTTAAGTCCAGGGCATTTCATGTTTCAATTGTGCTGCCATTCTACTGCCCCCAGTCTCTGGGGGCAGTACAATTACTGGTCTGCAATTATCCAAACAACCATTAGATAGCAGCACAGAGAGCAAGAAAAATATTAACTATGATGCTTGTTCAGATTTTTGCAGCCCAGATCTCTAAATTTACTCTTTAATTTTGTAGTAAAACTTTAACATTGTTTGGCATTTTCTTCACTATTTGTCTTCACACAAAAGAAAAAGATATCACCATCCACTGTAATAATTAAGCATGAATAGATTTAAAAAGGAACTAGAGACATATCCTCAAAATGATTTTTGTGCTCTGTCTTCCACTTCCAACAGCTAAGTCAATTAGCTGTTAACTCTGCCTTTTCAACCCAAGACATTTATCCTCCAAGATTAAAAAAAAAACCTCTTATACACTCAGCATGCCTATAGTTGGCTAAAATGATAATGTAATGGTGTGATACAAAATTAGAATATACATTATCTCTTCTGCCACATTGCATCAAAATGCTTTCTCTTTTAACCATTTAATCTAGAAAACAGAATGCTCTGAATCCTGTATTCACTTTGTATTCACTTTCCCCAATTTGTAGTAGTGTGCAATGTTTGGGTCTCCTGGATGCACAGTTCCTGCTCAATGAGCAGGTAACACTGTGCCACGAAAGTTCTTGAACAGCTTCATCTGTTGCATCATTTCCTAGATTCAAAGACTCTTCAGATAGTCGCCTTTCTAAAGGTGTTTTTTCAAGAGGCAACTGGACTTTCTGGTTACTTACTTACCAGAAAGTCCAGTTGCCTCTTGAAAAAGCATCTTTGGGACAACCATGACCTGGATGACTGAGAATCTCCCTAGACACTCTTCAGATAGTCATTCACGATGTAGTCATATCATAGCTTGATGTACAACGCATCTTACATGTGGTTGCCTTTCAAGAGCTCATTGGGACCTTCAACTGGTGCAGTCAGTGATGGATATGCCCTTGTGCCCATGTGGAACCTCCCTTTGCAAGCTATACTGGTTTCCAATCTGCTTCTGAGTGCAATTCAGATGCTGGTTAGATCTACTTGGTAGGAAATTGGATTACTTGAGAAACTACCTCTCCCCTGTGTCAGATATCAGCCTGGGCATTTCAACATGACAGGGTTGGGGCATTCCAGGTTCCTTTGATTAAGTAGTGCCCTCTTAACAGGACCCCAGAAACATGCCTTCTCTGTCGCAGCACCTGCCTACTAGAATAAGCCTTCCTCTGAGATCAAGGTGGAACTCACTCTGATGCTGTTCTGGATGGCCTTAAAAAATCTGGTTCTTTTTCCAGGTTCCAGACTAGAGTCATTGAACTCCTTTGCTGGGCATATGCCATCTTTACTGTTTATTTTTACGTTAAGTTGAAATAAATAAATTAAAATACTGTTCTCCATTCCAAAAACTGTGAGGGTGGTGGGGTAAAGGAAGGGGAAGTAGAGGAGGAAAAGGAGAGGAGGAAAGAAGAAAGTAGAAGAGTAGATGGAAGAAGGGAGGGAAGGGAAAGAGAAGAGAGGAGAGGGAGAAGAAGGATTGTTGTAAAACAAGGGAGATGAAATGGTAGAAGAGCAACCCCGAATATAATTAAATTGTTTAGGATGAAGATTGTATTAGTATGAAAGTTAAAAGAAAATGTGTAGGTTAGATAAGAAATTTTACATTTAAGATATGTTTATGAGAGAAAAAAATAAAACTTTTTCAAAAAAGAAAGAAAATAATAATAATAATAATTTTTTAAAAAACTGTGAGGGTGGTTTGTTCACCAACTGTGGCCCAGAAAATGAACAATGAAATTGCTAATAGAAAATACATAGAGTCAGTAAGATCTGGTGATTAAGATGCTGAACTAGGAGCTGAGAAACCTAAATTCTATTCCTGCCTCAGGCTCAAGAACTGAGTAACGTTAGGCCAATCACACTCTCAGGACTAGGAAGGAAGGAAGGAAGGAAGGAAGGAAGGAAGGAAGGAAGGAAGGAAGGAAGGAAGGAAGGAAGGACAAACTATTCCTGAAAATATTGTCTGGAGATCTTAAGGATGTATCTATGTGGTGACCACAAAACAAGGCTGACCCAAAGACAAAAAAGAAAAACAAAATCCAAATAGATACAATATAAGCCAACTGAGTAACTCTGGGCCCGTCATTCTCTCAGCTCAACCCACCTCACAGGATTGTTATTGTGGGACAAATAAAAGGAATATTATGTATGTTTGCTGCCTTGAGTTACTTAAAAAGTAATGGTTTTTTTAAAAAAAAATCTAAAAAATAATTAAATATACTACAATCTGTGATATCTTTTCCTAAATACTTCAGATTCATTCAGAAATTAAGATACCTTTATCACTAAAAATGATCTCAAGTATATATGATGATGGAAAGTAGAAATGAATATACAGCACACTGTGCAAGGTATCTTGGTAAGTACCACTGAATGCTTTTTACATCCCAACGGTATAAAATGCATTCAGTGGTACTTGAATGTCTTGGTACATAGACGTGTCATCAGTGGTATATAGAAGCCTTGATGTCTTCTATGCCCTATTATTCTTTGAGTTAAAGCCCAATCATTACTGTCCTTAATAATCAAAGTCTGTCATCACCAGAACCTACCACCAGTGGGCATTTACATTTGCCTTGTTTGAAGACTTAACACCAAGATTATCATTCAGGCTCCTGGGGACAGTAACTTAGTAAATAATGCACTTGAAAACACTAAGGATTTGCCTGAAATGTTCAACCTGTTCAAGAAGCATGCAAATTTAATTTAAGAATATAAGCAAGGAATTTTCTTTTCATATTTTTAATTTGATTCTGACCCCATCTGCCATACTAAATAGTGATTGGCTTTAAATGAAGTTATGTATTCTCTGCTCAAATCAAATGTAATTGTGTAAATCTACAGAGTTGCCTTTTCTTTCTTTCTTTTTCTTTCTTTTCCCTCTCCCTCTCTCTTCTTTTTGCATAATTCAGTCTGGTTCACATGACATAAGAAATTACCCAGGATAAAAAATCCAACTCTACAACCACTGGAGAGTGTGCATTTATGCGTTCTTCCTGATTATGCATTTATGCGTTCTTTCTGATTAATTTGATGCAAATTAATCAGGAATAAAGACCCACTGATTTCAAAGGATTTTATTTAAATATGCTTAAGTCTGGAATCAAAATATTTGTAAAAATACTTTGTAAAGATATTTTTAAAAATGCATAGATACCCTTGAACCAAACCTGGTTCTATCCCAGTAACTGCAGAAACTATCCCAGTAATTGCATAGTTTCTAGCAACCATTACAGATATCATTATCTTCTGGGATGCTTTTTGAATTCCTGGCTTAGCCTGAAGCCCTATTTCCCTAGGGATGTCCTTTTAACTTCTGCTGATTAACAGCCATACTTCCTGATCAATTAATTTTTATATGTTACAATCAGGAAGGCTCCCCCCCCCCCCATCTTAGCATATCTGGGATAAAATAATGGAACAAATTTTAGTTCCATTGTTAAATTAGTGCAGAAAAAATTAACATAATTTGCCAGTCTAAAAAAAAAAGACTATGGACACAAAGTCAATCATTGCATGACATACACCAATCACAGAATGCCCGGATCTTTCCTTTTGTGTGATCCCAAGAATGCTTGTAGAAACATTTAACTCTAGCTAACCAGAGCATCTATAAATATTTCTGAAACAAGCCAATTCAAAACACAAGTTTATGTAATATAATTAATGCAAACATCAGAGCATTCGGTGACTAACTACAATCAAACTAAAAGCTATACAAACCTATCCTCCTAAAGAATGTATTATAATCCCAAGGCTTCATAAAGTCATGCACATTACAAAAAATCTTGGTTTATCATGACATTAAATGTAATCAGAGTAGCTATCTTTGTAGTTCATTATGTTGAAACATAAAAAATCTTCTTTAAGACTATACCTATACCTTTAAGACTGTACACAAGTCAGAAGAACAAAGAGTTAGGTTTGTTATATTCAGCTAGAAAAATGGAGAAATGTAAGGATTATGTACCATTGCAGAGTATGTTCTGATGAGGGGCAATATTTCATTTTGATTGCCTTTTTTAATGAAATACTCACTGTCTGAAATCTTAAAAATGTATAGCCCTAATGCTTGTATTGGTAACTAAAAGCTGCCTTTAACTGTACAAGTTATATACAGTATTAGCCAAAGTTAATCATTTTTTTCAATTTCATTGGTTTTAGTGGGATAATTTTCTTCTCTGATGAAATTGGTAAGATTTTCTAAAATTAGTATATTAAATGCTGTTTAATATTAAAACTGTGCTATTCCACTTTAGTTTTAGAGTATACAATTTTAAGACAGTGCTCTAAGGAAATGCAGTTTCACAAATTTCTCATGTCTGCTTTGAATGATTACACAGCTACGTCCATTTTTATATTGTTATGCCATAGTCAAAGCCAACCTAAGCAGCATTTCATTCTTATGGGAAAAATAGTTACCTTTCAGATAAAGATGTCCCTCTAATCAGTCCAGAGGGGCTGACCAATCCTGTGAAGAAATAACTATTATGGAACAACTATTAAAAGCATTTCCCAGCACCAAATGCACTGGAGTTATATACTGGGTTGAACAATAAAAAGGAAAATACATCAAATATTTTGATTTAATTGATCTGAAGAATTTTCTTCAGTTTGCTAACTCAACTGTATCATTCCCTCATCAGAAACTTTTAAGCTGCAATTCTATAGAGAAATATGTAGCAGTAAATTCCATTTTACATGAATTATTTCTGAGTAGACAGGAGCAAGGCTGTTGTTAGGAATACAATTTTTTAGATTACAATCAGAGGATACTTAACCAAACCTTTTCATCTATTTATTAAAATTAGCTGCTTTCTTCCAATAAAGGATGCTTAATGGAACCTGTTACTTACCAATCGAGAAAAATTCTAAAGTTTAGAATTATAACTATTTCTGCCAAGTAGTTTCTCTACTGATATCCTCTAGCATTCCATAAGCAGATTGATTGTATTTCTAGTCATATCTCAATCTAACTATTGAAAAAATTGAATTATCTAAAAACTATCCTCTTCACATTCCACTGACTTTCACCGTACAGAGGAAAGGGACCAATCACAACATAAATATATTTCGTTACGTATGTACCCAGAAATACATATCCACCTTTTTTTACATTACTTTTCTTACGGAGAAAGGATAGCCTGGACCTTGTTAGAGATTACTGTGTTTGATACAAGCCTCTTAGTTGCTTCTGTAATTTACTGAATAGAAATGTCACCATAAATGCTCAGCCCTCTCAACTATTTACATCATTTAAAAAGTTCAGGAATCAATATGAAAGTGGCATTAGATGTTCAAATTAATACTTAATTGTACTAAACCTCATTGCATTGGGGGAGGGGGTACTGTAAAAGTTAGTAAGAACCAATAATTTAAGAACTTGGAAGGCTACAATGAGCAAAGCCTTAAAAGCAGTCAACCCAGTTCCTTATAATTACAATTCACTTTGACCTCTTAAAACCCCCTTACCTGTTTAAGAGTTTTATACAGCAGTTTGCCATGGGAACCCATATTTTGTGGAACACAATCGTAGCATCCTTGGTTGATAAGCACCTGCTGCCTAGCAATCATCGTGCATGGATATAGGACCGCACTAGTGTTCTTTATCCACAATAGGTTAAGCATTTCAAGGCAACCAGAGCAAGCTTGCATTTCAAGATGTCTTCCATCTGCATGTCAAATGGCAACTAGTTAATTCTAAGAGACTTGGGAAACAAATGCAGTTTCTGCAGCCACGATGCAGGTGCAGCACTGTTCGCTTCCTCTTGACCTCTGGTGATGTGTAGTCAACTGTGCCCCGAAGTCTCCTGCAGCAAAGAGTTGTACTCCTGCACAGTGGGAACAGCTTTCCAAAGCTCAAGATCCCCAAATGCAGGAAATATAGCACATTTTTTTTTCAAAGTTTCACCACTTTTTTTTTCCTCCTGATATCATCTGTACTACAAACTAAAAAGTTTGCAGCCGTACCTACGATCAAGGTTGCATGCACATCCAAGGTGTGTAGACCATTTGCTTCAAAACGGGTCAAGTAAGAGCACCAATAACAATCGTACAGGTTTTAAATGACAGCGCTCTAGCTCTCAGGAACTCTTCTTCCATTCAGAACTACACCCAGGACTGCATAACTCTGAAGAAAAGCCCCTGGTGGTGGAGGAGCTCTTCAACTGTGTCTGGAAACGCGCTATCATTTAATATTTTTTTATGAGTTATTTTTTCTTTTCAATTTGGTGAAAAGGTTATGAGCAAGATGCAAAGCAATTTCAAACTTTCTTCAAATTAAAATCAGAACTAAGGCCAAACAAGTTAGGTGAACAAAATAAATCAAGAACTTAAAATTCAGGAACTCCAGCTCTTCAAAATCAACAGTCCCAGATCTGTACACTGTTCTGAGACTTAAGATGTTTTCCCTGCTTCTTGCATGCCAGCAACAGCACCATTTCCTCGTAAAGATGAGGAGATAGCAGCCATTGATCCCCATTCACCGTACACAAGAGGACACAGCAACACAACAAACTAGATTTCTTCAGATCTGATACAAAAGATGGTCAATATCAAAGCGAAGGTTTCCCTGTTTCTTGTCTGAGACCCACAACTATCAGATCGAGGAGGAGGAGCAGCAGGAGCAGTTGTAAAGTACCCCCACAGCTGCAAACAAAGGGGTCAAAGGTTTGTCGTCAATTCATTTCCAGGCAGAAAAACCACTTTCCTCAAAAGAAACAATTTATTTAGAATGAAACAAAATCAGCTCGACTGTGAGCGCATGTTTTGAGTGACAGCTATTTTAAGCTGTGTGAGCCATAAAAAGGTTTTTTTTCCTTTACTTTTGCAGAAATCTTGTGTACACAGCACAAAGCAAAGAGGTCAATTTTCCACTTTAAAACATGGGCATTGGCATCACAAATAGCAGATACACAACTTTTTAAGCTGCCATTTTAGTAAAATGCACAAATACTAAACAGATAAGCTTTCTTCCATGAGGCCCATGTAAATTCCACATAAGCCAACGCTTTTCTTCGCAAAGGTCCATTAGAGTTTGGAATCCCTTGTGGTCTTCAGCACTTCACTAGCCTTGCTTTCAGGAGGAAAGAAGAGGTTATTCAGTACAAATGTTTACAAGAGATCTTCCCCCTACATTTACAGATAACTGTTCGAACTACAAGGCTATTAACGTTCTAAGTAATGTCTGAAAACACCAATCACCCTTCACTGGCACAAAGCTTTTGAAATGAATTAACATCTGTATATAAATGCACAAATAGTAGTTCAGGGAGTTAAAATATAGGGTAGAGATTGAAAAAAAATCAGCTGTACTAGTTCAAAAAAACATACAGGAGAAAAATCAACTGAATTTTCACAATTCATACAATTTCTCTCATTTTCAAAAAGTCAAACAAGAACATGATATTTAGTGTTCTGTTTGCAAGTGTATTTTTTCACATTGCTATGTTATCTCCAACTACAGACTCATTACTTACTGGAGAAAACTAGCTAAAATATGCATCGGATTCGCTTCAACCCACATCTGTGTACATTTTTCTAGTTGTTCCAAAATACTTTAGTTTGGATAATGTAAAGGGAAATGTTTATCTTCAGTGACACATCTGGAGCAGCTAATATTGTTTACAGGGGAGAAAACCGAAGGCAAGAAAAATTAACATACATCAAATTACTTTATAATTTTGCAATCCATTCAATCAGGCACCCTACATGGATTATTCTTTTGTACACTTAAGTGGCTACCCTTAACTTTTCCATTTTTATCCAATTCAGATGTATTCCTACATTCTTTTACTCTTAAAACATAGTCAAACTCCTACTACTTGTTTAAATTCCTAAGGAAGGCTTCTTCCTTTCCCCCTTATATATCTTGGGAAGAAAAGACCCATGCTAAATATATTGGCTTTAAAAATGCTAATCTTGCCTCCCGGTGTTCCAAATTTTGATAATCCAAATTGGGAGGCAATTGTATAAACATAAAAGTGGATCCTGGTAAATGAGGTAGCCTTAAATTGATACTCCACTGACAGCCAGCCATGTATGATGAACTGTCAAAATGCAAAGCTCCTAGTTAACTTTGGGGGAGGGGGGTGACCCAAACTCTTAAGTTTCCAATTATAGAATTTAAATCCTAAGGACATCAAGCCAGTTAAGATTTTTTTACCCAGCTCCCCCAAAAGTGGTATTAAGTGACTGTCAGGAAAAAACACATTCTCCATCCTAATGTTATAACTCTGGAAACAAATTTCTGAACATCTGCAGCATTCAAATATACATTGCCTTAACGCTTCATAATACCATATACAAAAGATCACAATCCTCTTTTTCTGCATACAGATGTGTCACAAAACTTAACTTTTGCTATGCTGAAGTCTTGGAGGTTGGCTCAAATGAATAATTGCACTGCTGTTATTCTAATACAAACAAAAAGCTATAGCAGCTATAACTAAGTGCTGAGCCATCCAATGTTGGTTATCATTTTAGTCTAAATTGGACTCCTAACATTCTCTTTCTTTCTATAGCTACTACTGGACTATCTTCTTTCTTTAAAAAAAAATCTTAGATAAAAGGTTTGGAAAGCTGAATTGCCCATTTCACATATCCTTAACCCAGTTCAAATCATAAGAAGCAGCACTGAACATAATTTTCAATTAAAATAGAAAAAGAAATCCATGGTGTAGGGTTTCCCAACACCGGTTCCCAAAGGTTGCCTAAAATGCCAGTATGTTCACTTTTCCTCAAATTCAAGTTCTGAAGGATTTTTTTAACAAGGAGAGCACATCAGTATGCATACTATTGCCAACAAGTTTGACTTTCGAATCGGATATTAAAGATTTTCCAAAAAAATACAAGGATGGCTTTCAAATTAATATATTAGTTCAACATAGAGCAAATTCCCTATCCAAATAAATACACTAAGAAAACTCTTTATGTAGCCACTAGCATATTGCATTTGACAAATGCAGTATTATGGATAATCCAATAATATTATGCAGTACAGGCACACAAATCTGTCTTAGTGACTCTGCCTATAACAGTGGCTGGATTTAATTTGGTTCACAGTTCCAAGTTTCATTTATTACAGAACAATTTATATTTTCAGTTTGTATTTCAGAATTGTGGGATTTAGGTTACTATACCCACATTTTTAAAGAGTGAAAGGGTGTAATAGTTTCAGAAGTGAGGCTCTACTTGAAAAAAATACTTTAAGAATAGCATATTTTCCAATATTTCATTGAGCAGTGTTTCATTAAGCCACTTTTCAACTATCGTAATTGTACTTATTCAAATTTGAGAATTGGTTTACACATGAGAAACATATTATTACTATACAGTGGCTTTACAAATGAACAAAAATATTGGACTAGAAAAGAGACCAAGCAAAAAGTCACACATTTAAACTGTTGATTCTTTCCTCCTAAGTCTTATCACATATTTTAAAAAGAACTGCTTTTAAAGGCTTACTTTCAATCGAATTATGTTTTTTTAGTGAATGCAAAAGTGTCAAGATTAAAACAGTGCAAACCAGACTATAAAACCTCGCATAATGCCTATTATATTTTACCTGGAAAATATTGAGCAGTTAAGTTTCTTTTCTATTTCCACAGGGATAGAATGATAATTGAAATGGTTATGTGGCAGAACTTTTCATGAAAGTTAAGTGCCATCTTTGAAACTTGTGTTCCCAAGTTATACTTTAGAATTCATTGTGCCTATTACAATTAGTAATGGGCAAAAACAATGATACCAGTAACCACCTGCTTCTTTAATACAGAAGTTCATGATGTTCATGGGTTATAGTAAAGCTCTCATTACAACTACAACCCTTAAATGCACACAAGTTTTTTAAAAAAATCAACAAAGCAAAATACCATTTAGGAACATTTTTCAAGGGTATTCATTTCTCTGAATTTGGGAACAAAAACTGAAAACCCAACTGAAAGAAAACTACAGTGCACCATCAAGGCTTAATATCAGCTGTTACATGGACTCGACCATGAGTTAATTCAATTTAATTTTACATTTTGTAAACTAGGAATTATTCTGAAATCATAACTATAGTTTAATGGAAGCTGCAGCTCTCAGAATGGGCATGAACCATTTTTGTTTTAAGTATGGCAATTTAGAACGTAAGTATAGGAAAAGATTTTATACCTACTTTAAAGTTGTGAAATGAACAAGGACAAATTAAAAAGAAAAAAGAAAAAAGAGGGAGGCAAGCTTGTTCAATATTTCATATTTTAGTGAAAGCAAGCCATCCCTTTTACTATACTGTCACTAGCAAGACAGTTGAGGGTAGCCTAGTGAACAGTTAATATATCTGCTCTCTAGAGTTTATAGAAAATAAAGGGAAAATAACAGTAACTACAGATCTAAAATTATACTTAGGGTATTGGCTAAGGCTTAGCACCTGGCAGACACTGGAGGAGGGGGGAGTTGTATGAAGCAGCAGGATAAGCACAGAAAGCATTAGGACTTTAAGAAGCACCACGAACAATGATCATGACCAAATAGTCATCTTCCGATTTAGCCAGGGCCTTTGCTGTAGAATCCAGGAATTGCTGAGAAAAATCACAGGGGGGGAAAGCATGCAAGACTCCACTGTTTTCTTTGTCTTTGTTGCCTCCTACTGGGAGGCTTATCACTCCAGCTGCCTGTTTTTGTTTAAGATAGGACACCAGGTTTCTTAATGGCCGCTGGGTAGAGGTGGTATTAGCTTCACCAGCCCCAGATGAGGCACGGTTGTCTGTGGTACCAGGCACAGCAAGGAGAATAGCATATCCATTGGGTCCTGCTACTTTGATACGGCGGGTAACTTCATCTAACTTGGGCTGGTCCAAACGAAGACGCTGTGTGATCTTTAGTTGGGCCACTTTGCCACCAGTTGTTCCTTCCACCAGCAGATTGCTAGCTACGCTGAGGTCACCTTGTAACAGGTGCATGTTTGATGGAAAGTTGCTGTTCTTCAACAGAAGCATTCCTTGCCAGGCTAAGCAGAGTTTGGTAGATGATCCCGACTTTGAGGTTCCATCCTGCTGTTGCTGCTTTTGGGGTGGCTTCAGCCGAGATCCACTGCTACTATTCCCTTCAGAAGTATGCTCATCCTTTTTAGCTGGACTCTTGCACTCTTGGATGGCAGTTGATGCAAGTGTGCGATGTTTTCTTTCTTTTTCCATCAAACTCTTATGTTCCCGCTTCTCACTCTGGCCTCTTTCCAAACTCCCCTTACGCGGCTCTCTGACTGGTGAAGGACGATCCAACAAGAGTAAACGAGAAGAGGGCCGATCAGTATCAGTATTATAGCGGTCTCTGATTAAGCCTGTTTCAGGACTACGATCTTGAGGAGATGCTACAGCAGGGCAGTGACGCTTACGAGATGAAGATGAACGTTCACTATCTGGTGATCGATCCAAATGTCGACCCCCATCCTCCACTAGCCTTCGCTTCCTAGGTGGGTCTCTACTACTACCAAGCTCTCTTTCCCCACGAGTTCTTTCTAGAGACCAACCATCTCGACGCCTTTCCAGACTTTCAAGTGCATCATACACAGTTGCTCGGTTGCCTCGGTCCCGAACTGGAGGTGGAGGAGGCACCCAGTCTGTTTCAGCATATAAGTCTCTATCACGATCACCATAGAGCAGTGGTGGTGTTCTGTCCCGAGCACCTCGGAGTGGATCTGGTGGGGCTCCACGATGTGCTCCAAAAGCTGATGTTTCTGCTACCAGCTCATAGTGAGCAGGGGGTGGAAGTGGCAATGGCTGCAAATAGGGCTGTTGATACCGATGCTCAGTGTCAGCAAAGTCCACACGCAAGCGACGGTCTGGCCCACCCAAAGGAAAGCCACGCATGTGGGTACAAGCAGCTTGTGCAGCATCCAAACTCTCATACTGGATGTAGGCCCATGAGTCACCTTTACGATAATCAATGGTACGAATAGTACCAAAGCGATCAAACTCCCTGGCAAGAGCAGCCAATGGTACCCAGGGTCCCAGACCACCCACCCAGAGTCTCGTGGTGGGGGTTGCTTTACCATAACCAATTTTAATAGGATTGCGCAACAGCACTTTACCAGACATGGCAAGCTTAGCCCGGTGGGCCATATCCAAATTCTCAAATTTAAGAAATCCGTATGTGCTAGTTTGACCCCGGCTTGGCCTCTTAATATCCACTTCGGTGATAACCCCAAAGCGATCAAAAGCCCTACGAAGGTCTGACTCTGTAACCGATATATCCAAATTACCCAGAAACAGGGTGCGATTAGCTCTCTGGTCATCTTCAGGACTGATCTCTTCTTCAGTGGCCGTTCCTGTACCAACCCCACGAAACGCAGCGGCCGCCACTCCAGCAACTCGATCCAGACTGTAGGTGGGCCTCACCCGATCATAGAAACCGCTGTAGTCTCGTTCTCTTTCCAGCTCCCGGGGCAGAGGCGGCGGGGGCAGACGACCCAGGGCAAGCTGCTGCAATCGGAAGTCTCTGTACCCTAAGCCTGCCCCTCCGCCAGCAGGCGAGAGGGCCCTCTGGGTGGCCCCAGTTGCAGGGTGCCTGATAGTGGCGGGAGATGCCCCCGCCACCCCCACTGCTGAGGCCCCATAGGGAGACTCCTTGTCCAAAAGCGCTGGGGAACGACTGCCGCGTCGCCGGCTGCTTCCCCCTCCGCTGCTGCCCCCTACATAAACGGCCTCGATCTTCAGCGGCCGATGGTAGAGGACCAAGCGGCCGCGAGCATGCTTAGCAGCCCGGGCATCCTCAGGGCGGCGGAAATTGACAAAGGCCACCCGCTCGTCGCCGGATCCGGTGCCCGGGGGCAGGCGGCTGATTTTGACGCTGACGTCTCCGAAGCGCTTGAACTCGTGGAAGAGGCCGTCTTCGATCGCCTCGTCGCTCAGCGCCGAGCCCAGCTCGCTGATCTTGAGCGTCTTGTACTCACTGCTGCCGGCGGAGTCGGAGGGGGGCGCGCGGGAATCGACGCCGCGGCCGCTGCTGCCACGCGAGGACGAGGAAGACTCCGCGTTTTTGCTGTTGTTGCTCCCGCCGTAGCCGTGGCGGCCGCTGCCGCTCCCAGAGCCTCCGACCGCGGCCGATTCATATTCACGGCTACTGGCCCGGCTCGCTTTTTCCAGATGAAGGCTCCGCCGACTACTGCTGCCACCGCCCTCGCCCGAGCCGCCGCCCGCAGATTTCCCACCGCCGTTGCTGGGCTTCTTACTGCTCCGCTCGGTCCGCGCCGAAGAAGAATCCTCGCCACCGCGGGACCGTTTGGCCTTGGCAGGCGAGCGCTCCTTGCCCTTCATGGCGGCAAGCGCCAGCAAGAGGGAATCGCGCGCGGAGTATCGCGCCTCACGCACCCGCCGCCATCTTGGAACCTCCGGCAGGCTGGAACTCCGCCCACTGGGCAGGCATTGGACAGTTTAATCGGAGCCCATCGTGTTCATTGCACAAAGGACCTGTCGGTGAAGAAAAGCGTAGAATCTGAAGCGCTCCAAGCACCGGAAACGGAAATTTCGCCTTCCTACGCTACTTTCACCAGGCCGTTGGATGAACGGCCAATCACTCATCGGTTTCTTGAGCGGTAATGGTCCGAACTGGAAGAACTTCCATCCCATTGGCTGAAGCAGGAATCCCAACTCTTTGTTTCCCCACCCCACCTCCACGCTCTTATTGACGGTTTTTGTGGAAGGCCTCAAGTTTCCCCGCCGGCCTGAACCCGCGCGAAAGTGCTCAGACCACGTGGAGCCTTTGGGTTTGACAGACGAACGAGATGGCCGGGGAAGCGGGGGCCTCAGTTGGTTTTTTTGTTTGGGGTCTGCAGTGGACGCAGCTTCGAGGTTTTTTTAGCTTAGGCGGGAAAAGACTTGTCGGATGGATGTAGTTTCGTCTCTCTCTGTTTTTTCCCCAGCGAACGCGGGCGTGTGTTCGTCTGGGCGGGAAACGGTTCTCAGCCTCAGCAATTTTAAGATGTGTGGACTTCAACTCCCACAATTCCCCTGCCGCCAGCCAGGTCATTTCTCCACCCAGTGCTGGCGAGAAAATTCTGGAAGTTGATGTTCACGCATCTTGGTTGCTGAAGCTGAGAAACACGGGCTTAACGGATCACGCAAAGGATGCGAGTCTGCCTCCTCGCATATCTGAACCCCGTCCAAAACGCAAAGCGCTTTTTACCCGGAATCCATTCAAATTAGTTTCCCAAGGCCGCCTCCTCGCTAAGCTACTCTGGGGGCTTACAAAGGGTTAAAAACATCAGGCTATAAAACAGGAGGAATGTAAAAACACATGGAAAATAGAAAGCACCGTCCATCTTCGGTGGTTTCCTGAAAGAATTTGATATTTCGAAGCACGGGCCGAGCTATTCGGTTTATTAAAGTAGTTTGGTTGCTGTTCTCGGAAATCGCGTTCATTAAATCCATAAATCCCATTAAATGGCCGTAACAAGAAAAGCATTTACAAATAATATTTTTTTAAAAATCGACTGAAAAGGCTCGCTGGAAATTTTTTTTAATATAGCGCTAAAAAGAAAATGAACCGCAAAGGCAATACTACTGGGTATTTTTCTTCCTATATCCTTCGGGGAATAGGATCTCGTGACCTAGAAATTGTTCATTTAATTTATTTTGTACAATTGCCATGCAAAAATTAAGTATGATTTTAGGACACTAAAACAACAAGAGGGCTAAACCTCAGAACTGTCTTGACTTGTTAGTTTGTTTTATTTAGAACTGCACAAAATGTTGCCCTTGTATACTGTAATCACATTTCAAAGTTATCATTTTAAATGAGCAAATGTGTAAAGTACTGCAGTACTTGCAATTTTTAAAGAAACATTTGCTGAAATTAATGGAAAGTACAGAAGTGAAAGCCAGTTTGGTTGAAGTACTTACTCCACTAGAAACTGAGACTGCAAGTTCTAGTTCTGCTTTAAGCACAAATCCAGTTATTAATCATCAGTTAATCCCCAGATAGAAAGCAAAGAGAAACTTGTGCTGAAAAAATTGGGTGACTTGTCCATGTAGTTTCCAGGAGTCCAAACTGACTTAAAACACAAAATGGAAATAATGCACAAGATGCAAAGCACTCTGATTTGATGTTATTTTTATCCTCTAATGAGATTACTGGAACAATTTTTTTAGCAGACTATCATATTCATGATTTTCACAAGTTAGTTATTAGTGACTGAGATAACTACTAGCTAGAACATCTTTCTCAAGGTAAAGTTTCTAGTGCAGATTATGACCTGCCAGCCATTTCTCTTGTTTACTTGTCCTCAGAGAAACCACTTCTGCTTACTTAAATAATAAAATGAAGGGAGGAGAAAATTGGGGCCAACTAGCCTATTTTTCCAACAGCATGCAATGATTCTGAGTAAACAGGGTTGCTGATTAACTTCTCCAAGAAACCTTCCCTCCAAATGATGCTGCTCTGCCCAAGATTCACATTATGTTGGCCAAGGAGAGAAGATTCACGGCAAGTGGACTGGACAGAAGCAATCACCAGTCTTCAAGCAGTATTGGGAAACAAATTACTCCTAATTTTGCTAAGTAAAGAAGCAATCTTCAACACTATCATTGCAAAGATATGGCTTCCTTCCTACTTCCTAGTTATTTTGTTCAAGAATATTTTTAAAGTGTGGATATTATTTCAAACATGCACTAAAAATGGAATCTCAGATAATGATGCATCAATGAATTCATAAAAATTTAAGACCACTCAGCTGGTGTTAGTACCTAAGGTGGCAGTAGAACTAATGGTCTCATGGTTTCTATCTTGATGCATTAACCACTCCTGTACACCAAACTTTCTCTCTTAGTTTTATTAGTCTTTAATATTTTATTTATTAATTATTATTTAATATGTGTCAACTGTGCATCTCTTGTTTCAGTGATGTGAACAGAATTAGCTGAAAACATTTATTTCTGGGCATGGTTGATACGGTTGCCAAGCTAGACTTTTTGTTCAGATATCATGGCTCTGCTTCCCCTTGGGAGGAAGTTTTTGCCTCCTTTTGACACCCAGCTGAGTTAGAAATTTTGTAAGGGGAATGCTAGTTGGCAGCTTTGCAGCTTCTCCTTAGTAGCTCAATCAAATTTTTAAAAATTAATTTTTGTTTCTAAGCAAGGCGATTGTTAAGTGAGTTACATGGATTTTATGACCTTTTTTGCCATGATTCTTAAGCAAATTGCTGCTGTTAAGTGAATCACACAGTCATTAAGTGAATCCAGTTTCCCCCATTGGGGAGGTCAAAAAAGGTGATCCTGGGATGCCTCAACCATCATAAATACATACCGGTTGCCAAGCACCTAAATTTTGATGGGGATGTTCTGATGGCCATAAGTGCAAAGACTAGTCATAAATCACTTTTTCAGTGCCACTGTAACTGTGAATAATCACTAAATGAATGGTTGTAAGTTAAGGACTACCCGTATTTTGTCCATTTCCACCTTTTAGGCCTGGCAAGGTGCATGTCAAGTTAGTGGGTTTTCTCATTTTATATTTTCTATACCTTTTATAGGGAATTCGGTGGTGGTCAGATTTTTGTTATTGCAACATCTGAGATCAGGACTGACTTTGCTTTTTGATTTGAATATTTCAGAACTGAAGATAACCACAGATTTTCTTCATAGCGATTCTGGAAGTTTGGGGAGTGAAAGTAGTGATGGTATGAAAATGTGATCAGATTACTTTTGTAAAGTGGCAATGTTACATATTATCACTAGGTTAGATTATGAAATCTATATAGGAATCATTTGTTGATTTAACCTGAGAAGTATTAGGGTTAGAAATCAGTGCCAGATAATTTCACATTTCAATATAACTTGTCTTCATCCAAACAAAATACTAAGAGCCTGTGTGGGAGTCAGGCAGAAGAAGATACTCAGACTGGGTGTCATAGAAACGAATTAATGGTTACCATGAATCTATTTTGAAATCACATTGACAGAACCTCCATTAATTTCTATTTTGAGCAGCTTTATTGGGTTTGGAGAAGGATGACATAGCAGAAGAGCATACAAGGCTGAATTTGATCATAATGGAACTGAGACTGTATTCTTATATAACTGTATTTACAGTTCTTTTGAATGATATATAGCATCCTTATTGAAGACTATATGGTTCAGTTGCTTCTCTCCCCCCCCCCCCCATTTACGACATTTAACACACTGGATGGAAATACATTTTCTGCCAAAACTAAAATACAAGATTACATTTCTGTCCAATATTCATTTATCTATTAAATTTATTGGCCGCCCACCTTACTACAATAAGAGAGAATATTGGACTTCTAATATGCAAGAAACCAAACCTAGTATAGTTATCCCATCAGTGAAGAGAAATGCAGATAGTCTTTCACTTACGACCACAATTGAGCCCAAAATTTATGTTACTGAGAAATTTGTTGTTTTTCTCCATACTACGACTTTTCTTCCCACATTTGTTAAATGAATCACTGCAGTTGTTAAATTAGTAACATGGTTGTTAAGTGAATCAATACAGAAGATCCCACTATTTTAACCAAATAAATTCTGTGCTTATACTATAATGGAAATACGTAATCAGAATAGGTATCATAACCAGTGGATGTTCAGCTCAGGCAAGGAAGTACAACCATAAGTTTTAAAAACAGTCCAAAGATAAGCCACAATATAGAAGAGCAGCACACAAGGATTGTCCTAGCAACAGGAGTTATAGATTCCCTGCAAATCAGACAAAGAACTCACAATAACATCCAATATTCTGTCATGAGTTCTGGAGGTGAGATATTCCAGGAGCCATCACCCAAAGCGGGTCATCTTCTTTGGTACATGTAAACATACAAAGTAACATAAAAGCTTCCCTATTATCTACAGTGGAACATCCTGCAGGGACACTACTGTGTTAATTACCAGAAATCCTGCAGTCACCCTTCAACTCCCCTTATAACCCATATAAGATGAATCTGCCTGGAGGGTGATATTCTCCTAACTGGGACAGCATCAACGTGTCCCATCTTTGTTAAGCATGTTTTCATGATGCTGCCTTCTCCAATCAACCACTGAAGCCATTTAGATCTTCTAATTTTTGCCAACGCATTTTTTTTTTTTTTTGCTATCAGTATGATCTAGCGTGCTGTACTGACAATTGCCATACTGCTCCAAATATGGCCCCCTTCTCTGAAATCACTGGGCACTAATCTCCATGGATATTTTGACTCTGGCTGTAAAGGAGAGACTGGACACTTGGCTTCTGCAGAGAATCCTGCTCCAGAACTGCTGAATAATGCCTTACCACTACTTTCCAAAACAATTGTCCTGTCTTAGATATGCAAACCTAGCACCTTTTCAAAATCCAAACCTTATTTAAACAAAGATTTATCTTTATTTATTTAGCATACGGCAATGTTACATTAGCCGGGAGTGTACAGTGCTAT